TATTTGCTTTATTTTTTATTTTTTACATCATAATATACATTTTATTTTTACATAGTTTAATAATTTAAATAATTTTTTTCATATTTACCATTACAAAAACAATACATTTTTGGTTATATTTTTTAAAAAAATTTTGTTACATTATTTTAATTAAGACTATCTATGTAATTTTTGCATATATATCCAGAAGGAATTCAGTCATAATATACTGTATTAGATATTAATATTTATATTGTATTCTCCTTTTATATTCTCTTTTTAACGATTATTTCTTCGCGTTAAAATATATTTATTATTTATTTATTTATTTATTGTTATTGTTATGTACAGAAAGAATAAATGTTCTGTTTGTATAAAAATCTGCATGGCGAATATGAATTTAATTCTCATGTTTATGAATAATACAAAATACCCAGGTAAATTAAATATCTATATTTTTTATAGGGGCACCCGTGACAGAGGTCTGGACAGTAAGTCCTCCACTCTGCTCCGGACAACAAATCAGGTGACGTTTATGATCCGAATATGTTTATACAATGGTTAATTCGGTTTATTTGAGGAATTTGACCTTTATTCAAGTTCCCCATCTACATATACTCTTTTAATAGCTATATCTGATATATATTTAATAGCTATATCTGATATATATTTAATAGCTATATCTGATATATACCATCTATATATACTCTTTTAATAACAATATCTGATATATATTTAATAGCTATATCTGATATATACCATCTATATATACTCTTTTAATAACAATATATACTAACAATATATACTCTTTTAGTAGCTATATATACTAACAATATATACTCTTTTGATAGATTTGGGGTTTTAAATACAAGATCCGATTAATATATCGGACTTTATATAACTATGAACCTAAATTTGCAAATAATAAAGGAACTCAATTGAATTTCAATAAAGTTAGAGGCATGGTCTCGCCTTTTAAAATTAAAAAAAAAAAAATTTGCAAATAATTGCCGCAGCAAAATTGTCACGGCAGATTCTCGATTTTGATTGGCTAAGAGCGATGATCAAAAAGGTTTAGGTCGAAGTTACTTAAAATTTTACTAATAAAATCACGGCTGCCCATTAAATGATAAATATTCTTGGGCTAATTTTACCATTGTATGGGCCTATTTCTCTAAACATTTCTATTATTTTTGGAACGAAAAAGTTAAAAAGTTAATTCCGGCCAAAAATTATGTAAACAATTATGTAATACGGGCCAAAATTTTGAAAATTTTGACCACTAAGTAAACAATAATGGTTATCCCCGGGTGAAGGTGCATCATTATGATAAATTTCTATGTCTAATAAGATACGTCAAAAGTGGGGAAGATGGGTTAGCACGTGGGAAAGAAGGGTTAGACGCGCTACCAATCAAGATCAAGAAAACCTTGTTCGGGGTTTAATTTAAAACGGCGTTTGATAAATCCCTATACAGGACCTTTTTATATCTCCGCTCGTATTAGTTTTTTTTATATAAAAAGATTATAACGATTACTAATTATTACGTATTTTGGATATAGTATAATAGATTAAAAAAAAGGACCTGTTCATTTGGTAACTAAAGTTTAAAATTGGGGACAAAATACTCAAATTTAGTGGCTTAATTTCATAAATTCGTAGTCACCTACTTTAATCAATAAAAAGTCCATCCCTGGTTATCGTTATAACAAAGTTATGGCTAAAGGATAATCAAGACATATAATCAAGGCACAGTCACACAACTTCTCAACACCATTCTTTAATGTCTCGATCATTGGCATACATGTAATCGAATGAAGATGAATGAGATTTCTTTTATCGAGCATCTTTAAAGACATTTAATTTAAATTTGTATTACTCAATACTGTAATAATAAAGATTTTTGATGATGATATCGAATTACATTTCTAAACCGTTAGTGAATTAAATTCACGAATTATATATCGATATAGAGTTTTTTTTATTGAGCACTTTTTTAAAAAAAAAACTTAGCTTCTTACATATCTTCTTACATATAATTATAAAAAACTTAAAATCATAAATTTTTTTTAGACTTGATTACATGCATAATTACACGCATAATTACGCGCATAATTACACGCATAATTGGTGCATTAATAAATGAATTTCTTTTTAGATATAATTTATCGATAAGGAAAAATTATATCTTTGCATATGGTATTGGCTTGTAAAAAGTTATCTTTTGCGACAGTTACTAGAGAGATAACATGGCATAAAATTGTGTTCAAAATCGATTTACATGTAAAATATATAGTCTACTGTATTAAATAAAAAACAAAATTAGTGATTTATGTTGATATTAGAAAATTGGAAATATATATATATATCAGATATATTATAATTTAATATATATATATATATCAGATATATTATAATTTAATATAATTTACCTTGTGTCATTCTGTATGTACAGTACACGTACGTACGTACGTGCGTATAAAGTATTCCGAACATCCACGAATAAAATTTAAATTTCCTCGGTTAAGTCCACCTTCCTTCAGTACGACTTAAAGAAATAATTATGTAACAAAGCACAGCTAAAACAACCAACACATTACAACAACATCGTTTAGCCCATCTTCGATACAGTGGATCAGTCGAAAATAAATAACAAGCACCAATAAACCAAAATGGTAAAAATATAAAGCCATAAACAAAAAAATTTTTAATTAATGGTGTATTTTCTTGAGGTTGAATGGGTTCCAATATTTGAAAAGGATCATTAGGGGTTATTGTTATGGTTGTTACTGATTGATTGTTTTCTTCGACATTATTGACATTATTGACATTATTGACATTGCTGACATTACTGACATTACTGACATTACTGACATTATTGACATTATTGTTGACATTACTGACATTATTGTTGACATTACTGACACTATTGACATTACTGACACTATTGACATTATTGACACTATTGACACTATTGTCATTATTGTCATTATTTGGATTATTTGGATTATATACTGGAGGCATGTCTTGTATTGCTAAATAGTACGAAGGCAAGGGTTCACGAGTAGGATCGCGTATACCATCAAAAAGCATAGACATTTGTGCGGTTAATGATGGAGTTGTAGAAGGAGATTCAATGTTTGTTAATGAATCTTGCAATTGTAATGGGTGTGTTAATATTGGTGGTGGCTCTTGTAATGTTAATGTGTGTGTAACTACAGAATATACTTCTTGAAACGAATGAGGTTCTTGGGTCTCTTGAAGTGGTGATGTTTCTTGGGATTCTTGAGATGGAGGTGTCTCTCGGGATTCTTGAAGTGAGGAAATTTCTTGGGACCCTTGAAGTGGATGTAACTCTTGAAATGAACATGATTCTTGAAGCGAGCATGATTCGCACGATTCTTGAAGCGAGCATGATTCGCATGATTCTTGGAGCGAACATGATTCGCATGATTCTTGGAGCGAACATGACTCTTGAGGGGAATATAACTCTTGAAAGGAATGTGACTCTTGTGGTTCTTGAGGTGAATGTGACTCTTGCGATTCTTGAGGTGAATGTGACTCCTGGAGTGGATGTGTAGTGGTTGAAACCATTGTATTGACATCATGAGAGTCCATTAGTATCTTTTTTTTTTTTTTTTTATACGTTTAAGAAAGAATTTATTTTTTTTATTTTTTATTTTATTATTTGAAGGTTCGTAAAAATTCTTTTATCAAAAAAGAAAAAAAAAAAGATCAGACGTGAAATTTTATAAAGAAGGAATAGCAGCCAGAAAAGTGACAATATTTAACTAATTACTATTTTCAAATGAGCATGCTATCGACACCTCATTATTTTGTTAGAACCTTGAATGAACATTAATAGTTAAATGCTCCGGTATTTATAAAAAATTAGTGCAAATTTATGCGCTTTGTAAGCAAGAGTCACAGCTCTCATGTCTAGAAGATTTACATAAAGGATTTATAAATCATCTTGTACAAAATAATAAAACCATAAAGTTGGATTACAGTCAATGATACCATACATTAGAGGTTAGGTTTGAACAAGGGCGATTAAAACACAAAGGTTAAAACAATCCAATCAGAAATTAGGTTTAATAATAATGTACACCACTGTAAATCACATGGGATTTATTGCCGGTTATTGGAAGTTTCGGCGAATTATTTCATTTTGACTCCACCTGAACACGCAAAGATTATGCATAGTCATTCTTTGTTATTAAACATCCCTTTGTCCAAATCAACAAATAAGTGCTAGACGTAGATTAATTACTATTAATACATATAAATTTTCTTGAAGTCCTTTGTTTATATTATATGTATATATACTGTCTATTCATGCAAAAAAATAAATCCCAATCTACAAGATTTTCGATCGCAAAGAAAAAAATTTATAATTTATATTTCATTGTACTCTGTATTTCACTATATTTCACTATATATATTTCACTATATTTTACTGGATATATTTCACTGTAAATGCCGTAAATATCGGTTTTTTTATGATCTTCATGCAGAATGCTTGTTCTAAAATCTGGTTTTGGATAAAATTCCCAATTCCCGGAAAAATTGTACATTTCTTAATTTATGACATGATAATAATAATATTTATATAAATTGGGCTGTTTAGTATAACTGTTTAATATTGTTTTTTTTATTTACTCCTACATTAGAGTTTTATTCTCAAGTATTTTTTAATAAGTATTTTTAATACGTAAAGTATTCTTTAGAATTTCAATATAAATTAAATATTTTGAAAAGTAAATATATGCGTATCAGTATACGTACAGTACGTACGTATCGGTATATGCTATTACAGTATATATCAGATATTACACATATAAAGATATTTAATAACCAATGTTTCAATTAAGGTAACATATATAGAAACAATTATACAATTATACGTAGCATTTTTTAACATATAAGTAAGATGTGTACTACATATCACAGTAAATCTTTGCTAAATATATCTCGACATAAACGTACATTTAAAAAGCGTGTACTTTTACAAAGAGCACGTTCTCAAGGAATCTATAAACTTGGAACTGGCTTATGCGTGTACTGTACATTATAAAAAATAAAATTTGTTACTGTATTATAATATCACTAATGGTGTAACTTTCAAAATTGATATATGTATAGCTGATTTCTTTTTAAAACGCGAATATATATAAAAATTAACACAATTATATTACTAACTATGCACACAATACATACATTATATATGTTACCATCATGATTATCATTATCATAAAGATTTAATATTATTAATCATATTTATTCTAACTTTTACAAGCCAAGGTGTTACAACATTAGAGGTAATTGGTTGTTGCAACACTTGCAATACTTGAAACTTTCTTTTATATGGAAAGATCGCGATTAAAATCCAAAGATGATTGAAACTTTTTCCATAAAGAGTGTTCGCGATTGAATCATTGAATCATTGGATCATTGGATCATTGCGACACCAACAAAATGATTTCAAAGTTGGTTAGTTATGACTAAATATGCTTATAGTATATTATTAATCATATTTGTTATTACAAATTGTTTCCATTTAACGAACCGGAGTGTTACAAAGTTGGAGATAAACACTTGAAAACGTTCTCCATATGGAAGGATCCCAATTAAAGTGCTTTAAACACTCGAAAAGTTTTCCATATAGAAGGTCCATGACTAAAGTATTGCAACACCAATCAAAAAAAATGTTGCTTATTTATTAGGGATGTTGTTCAAATTAACTAATCTTTGATATAGCTTTCCGAATTCCAATATCAAAGTCTAAAATTAGATCGGTCCTTCTTTTTTAATACAACTTTTTTCAATTTATTTTATATAATTTTTTTAGTCATCCTCTAATTCTTTCATCGGTCATAAAAAAAAAAAAACTCCGGACTAAACAAAATCCACTATTATAGAGAATAATTCTTCTACTTTACGTATAACATTACTCACTCTACACATAAAACTTATTCAGAAAAAGATTTTGCTTGATACGTATTAAGAAAAAATTATGTTTCTACAACTCCAGGAAAAGCAAAGCACTTCCAAGTTTATGAAATATAACGCGAAGCTGTATGAATAATGCGCGATAAAATTAATGATTCTTTGTCATCATCGCATCGCTTCTTAGGATGATGTGATGTATTGATGCATCTTTATGTCTCATCAAATCTCCAACTAATGTTGATATTGTCTTCAATTAAGTAATAAAATCTTGAATTAAGTAATAAAATCTTGAATTATTTCTCAATTTTTCTTGGATTCCACATAAAAAGAAACAATATGAACACTTTTCATAATCCTTTAACGACCTTCTTCCTCCTCATATTCGTTGCATTTATATTAGACCTTGTAGTTGCATTACGGCAGTTTGAATTGCCAAATCCAGATGATATTACGAAAGGTATATTACCGTCAAGGTCAACTGTCGAACCAGAATCCACAAGGTCTAAATACAGAGGGAAATCGATTGGTGGTATTTCAGGATTATTGGGTGGTCTTTCTATCCCAACCTCTTCAATTATCGATAATCAGGCAACTCCTATTTTAACAAATTCTATAAATACTATGCCTTCTACATTTACACCAAATCATATTTTTTCAAATGAAATTCCTAAAAAAACTCAAAATCCAACTCCTCTTCAGGAAAATTCTGGTATTTATAATGGAGGTGAAATCGCATATTCATGGATGGTTTTAAGTGTTGTTTGCGCTTTTTTAATTGGGTTTGTTGGATTTTTATCGGTTTAATTTTATTTTTTTTTTAAAAAAAAAACTACCTTCGATACTCCAAAATCTACCATAATATAATTTATCAAAGGTTTAATTATCGTTGTATTAATTAGATTATCGGTTATTGTAATTGAATAACCGTTATGCATTTTATGTCACCTGACTTATGCGTATTTGATTTTCTTAAAACTTAATAAACACTATAAGTATTAAATGATTATATATCTTAAAAAATAAGTTATCTATGAATATTGTAATTTCCTTGTACTAATCTTGTGTTTTTGGTTACATTTTTATTAAATAAAAACTATCTGCTTTGCGATATCCCTAGTTGAAGTGTTAAATTTCGATACATGATTCAGCTTTTTTTGTAATGATATCACTCTTGATGCAAAATACTTTTAAGTCGATTTGATCTGGTAACCAGATTACTACGTACAATATATTCAATTAATGATGTTGATCAATTAGAATTTTGCGGTCTATAAAGTAGTGAAAGTTTCATCGACTTAGGGGTGTTCTCCAAGATCATTTACGAATTGTGCTTAAAAATTCTTGACAGATACATTATGAGTAATTTAAGGTAATTAGACCCTAATACGTCTTTCAATTTTATTAATTTTATTAAAAATTTTATTAAGAAATTCCAAATCCATCCCTAACATTGCAAAATAAATATTTTTTCGACTTCTAAATATTCTAAAAAATATTCGTAAAAGTGGGATCTAATTATTGTAACACCTATTTCAAAGTATTATTTTACTCGCCAATTATTCGAAAGCAGAACAAAAAAAAGAATGTAAATGATTTTTGTGAACTAAAATACAACTTCATGGGTGTCAAAGATGACAATGCCAATGAATTTGTAAATGATTATTAAGGTGTCTACTATAACTGATAAATTAAATGAAAAATTATGAATTAGTATTAAATTATTTAGTTTGATAAGGGCAATGCCATTTATTACCTAATACTCATTTACTATAAAGGCTTACCCACCTTCCAGGTAGGATATTTTCTTAACTAATTAATTAATTAATAAATTTTATATATAAGATAAGTTTTTTTTAACCCTCCCACTTTAAAAATATTGACTAATATCTGTTATAGCCCTAAGTAATAATGAATATTTTTTTATATCTATTTTATATCTATTACAAAAAGTTTAATCAACTAAACGCGACTAGATCGTTATAATTGAGCTTTTTATAGTAATTTTACTTGCCACTTAATTATCAATTTTTTGTAAGCTCTTGAAAGGCTACTAATTTATATTGATGATATTCTATTGCTAATCGGGTAATTTTTAATAACTATTATGTTTATTAATAATTAAAAACTTTAAAACAAGTATATTAAATGATAATGGAATTTATAATTTATTGCACCCTATTATAACTATTTGAAGATCATCAAATTTCGTGTAATAAAAAATTTTTATCAAAGCAAAAAATAAATTTTGATTAATGTTAGGTTTAGAATTAAGATCTGAAATGAAGCAAGGATATAGGTTATATCAAAATTTTACAGAAATTTTTTTTATTAGAACCCCAAAGGTGGTTTCATAGTAAAAATTTTTAAATAACAGAAGGAGCGCAATATGGGGTGTCATCTATTAAAACAGCCCATTTTTACATTTGAACAATTTTGAGATAATTGAGTTTAATCATTTGTT